TTTTTAATGAAAAGTTGAAAAGATAATTAGAAGGGGTTGAATATTTACTAAATTAATAAGTCACATACCTACCATATATATACTTCTGCGGTTTAAATATTATAATGGATTGTGCAGGAATGGCCCTTGAAGAGTAACCTCGATCCGAGTATCTACGGCCCGCCAGAGTCTGCAATCACTACAGAAATAATTGAGAAAGAAATAGGTGGTCTTATGTCTGTAGATGAGGTACCACAAAGGGCAATTAATATATATTTTAATAATATCTTTAACTTTCCTGTCATCCCAATTATCGTCATCATTATTATTTTACCATTTTATGTAATATCACAAACAATGAAATAAAATGTGCAGGCTATAAAACAAAAGAAGTTGTTCATATTGGATTACAATGACCTGCTATTACCATATGTGGAGAAAGTAAGACAACTTAGCGGCACAACACTGTACGGATCACGGGCACTGTTTTTCCTAACCCCACAAGGTACGCTGAGGCCTCTGGCCATTGAGCTGACTCGGCCGCCGATCGACGAAAAGCCGCAGTGGAAGCAAGTCTTTACACCTTGCTGGGATGCCACTGGTGTCTGGCTTTGGAGGATTGCCAAAGCTCATGTTCTTGCCCATGATTCTGGCATTCATCAGCTCGTTAGTCACTGGTATATTTTACATATTTGTTATTACCACTATCTGTATATAGTACTATAACAACAACGAGACTTAATCCCAACTTAATTCGTTTTCACTATCTGTATATAGTGCTAATTTCTGTAAATTCGTTTTAAGATTGGACCTGATGAATTCTTCTATTATAATTTCCAGGCTAAGGACACATTGTTGCACGGAACCTTATATAATAGCAACAAACAGGCAGCTGAGTTCAATGCACCCAATAGCTAGATTGTTGAACCCACACTTTAGATACACAATGCAGATCAATGGTCTTGCACGCCAACTCCTAATCAACGCAGGTGGCATCATTGAAAGCACATTCTCTCCTGATAAATACTCCATTCAGCTCAGCTCCGATGCCTACGACAAGTTGTGGCGATTCGACAATGAGGGGTTGCCAGCTGACCTCATCAGCAGGTAACACCAAAAACAATAGAACATCCCAATTAGGTCGGCACCTTCTGATGAGCCACTCAATGCCCGTCCCAAGTTTTATTTAAGGGGAAAAAAAGAGAAGAGAAAAAACTCACTATAGGCGATTTCTCATTGAATTGGGATTACTACGAAACAAATTAATGATCTTAATTTTCTTTTTATTGTCATATTTTGTAGAGGACTGGCTGTTGAGGACCCAAGTGCACCGCATGGGCTAAAGCTAACAATTGAAGACTACCCTTTTGCCAACGATGGTCTCCTTATCTGGGACGCCACCAAACAATGGGTGACTAACTATGTCAACCACTATTACTCAAGCGCAAGCCAAGTGGAGTCCGACGAAGAGCTCCAAGCATGGTGGACAGAAATCCGAACCGTCGGTCACGCGGACAAAAAGGACGAGCCATGGTGGCCCGTTTTGAAGACACCTCAAGACCTGATAGAAATCGTCACAACAATGATTTGGGTAACATCAGGCCACCATGCAGCCGTCAACTTCGGACAGTATGACTACGCAGGGTACTTCCCCAACAGGGCCACTATTGCGCGAACCAACGTCCCGACGGAAGACCCGAAACCGGAGGAGTGGAAGTACTTCTTGGAGAAGCCTGAAGGCACGCTTTTGCAGTGCCTGCCGACGAAAATTCAGGCAACGAAAGTGATGACCATTTTGGATGTGCTGTCTAGCCATTCACCGGATGAGGAGTACATCGGGGAGATGTCGGAGCCGTCGTGGAGCGAAGATCCGTATATAAAGGCGGCTTTCGAGCAGTTCAGCGGGAGGTTGAAGGAGATTGAAGGGATTATCGACGAGAGGAATGCTAATGCTGAATTGAAGAACAGAACTGGAGCTGGGGTTGCGCCATATGAGCTTTTGAAGCCGTTTTCGGGCTCCGGTGTCACCGGCAAGGGTGTTCCGAACAGCATCTCCATTTGAAACGAGTGATTAAAGTGGAGAACTAATAATGGAGCTGGAGAATAGTCGATGATCATGTTTTTGTGTTTCAAAGAACCAGAGATAAGTTTTTAACTAATTACAAAGTACTATCTCCTCACGTGGTCAATAATTTGCAACTTTTACATTAGAATAATGTAATATCATACATGCGGCAAGAAAGAATGCAAACTTTATTATGAATGACTGTATCCACAGATTGAGGTTTGGCTTATTTACTGTTTCTTTAAGTAGATCATCGATTCCATCGCATTTAATTTCCCTTTAATTATTTTTTTCCTCGTTTCTTGTATGGTTGTCATTTTTATCAGGGTTTTCATTATTTCCAATAATATTGTCGTATTATCAATTTACGCCCTTTCTTATTTATTTTTTCTTAATTTAGGGGTGGTTATCGTTGTGAAGGTCATCGATTTTGTGTTAGTTGTTTTTTCTGATGTCGTATTTCCAATTAATGTAGTTTTTCACTTTATTGTCGTTTAACTATTTTTTTTTTTTTTTTT